CCCCTTGTCATTCCTCTCCCACTTGGCAGCAACGGGGTGGTGCATCTGCTGGAGAAGATTTTGGGCCTTTCAGAGCACATGCTGTCAAGCTCCAGGTTGCCCCGCTAGCTCAATATTCTGGGAGGCCAAAGCAACAGTTGTCACTATTGCAAAACGGGGTAGTAGGAAAGGAGGAATAATTTCAATCATGTTTTAAGAAAGATGTTGTTCATAAACGAGGAACAGCAAAAGAAATAGGGCTGGTGAAGAAATTGGAAGCCAAAGCTTGGAAGAAATAAAGGAGCAGCTGAAAGTCAGAACAAGCAGACATCTGGCAGGCATTAGAAAATACGAAGTCGCACATAGCATTTGGCCCCTTTGCATAGCACGAGAAGTACTTCAGAATAAGGTGGGAGCTCTTGACGTTTTTAAAGCTTTCTGTTGGCACATGCACTTTTCATTTCCTCTGGAGAACTTCAGAGCAATGCAGTCCCACTCATTGGAAGCTTTTATCCCAGGTGGCAAAGCTTCTGTCTTAGCTTTCTCTGTAAAGATGTCATTCATATGTCTAAAACTACTCTATGAACCAAATCAACAAGCAAGGTCAATCAGAGGATTTATTTCAGAACTGCACTACTGTTGTGATTTGAAATATCATGTAGACGCATGCCTAACGACCATTGCTTTTCTGGATTTGAGGATTCTTGATCTGCTTCAAGAGGCACTTCCTGCTTGTGTGAAGCTCACTTTTAAGTTTATAGAGTGAACTTCAAGCAGTAAAGTATACTTCTGACTTCCAAAACAGGATGCAGGAAGCACTAGCCAGTTCTTCAGCGTTTGATGCAGTGGCATCCAAACAATTTTGGAGGCAACCTCACCTTACTACAACTGTTCGTGCGTCTTCAGTATCCCCACGATTCAGAAACATATTTACTCAAAATTCAGGCACAATCCCAGTACCAGCTACTGACCAACAGCAGTGTATAAATTCATAACAGTGAAGCACATCTCAATCAATACCAACTTAACTGGCTGTGCAAGCACCAAAGGATTGTTCTGATAATGCTTGTTCCTGAGAACAGTAACAATCCATTTCTGTTTTAGTATGGTCATCTTGACTTGTATTGTGTATTAGCAGGAAAATGGAGAAAGTTTAATCGTAAGACACATTTCGTTATGCAGAACTTCTGCACTTATGATGGTCTGTAAACCAGTATGTTTCCACCACGTCATGCTGACTCCCCTGCTCCACAAACACTGGGTACAGATGGTGCTCTAACAACTGCCATATTCACAGTGTCATCAAAGCTTGTTTCATAGGCTTTTTCATGACCTCAGTATCAGTATATTCACTATACTTTTGCAGTTCTCGTACGCTCTGCCATCAGTTACCATTAGATTTCCTTTAATGGTTCGCATGTTTCTAATTACCACTACAAATCAACAGAGGTGATCAGCATACCACAGCAGCAGAGCTAAAACAACTTCGGCCTCTAGCACCGTTGAAAAAGACAGAAGAATTACTAGGTGGGCTTCACTCTGCATAGTGTTGGGAGAAGCTGCAATATATCCAGAATTCCTCATGTCAAGTGAATGCAGGCAATCAAGTCTCAGCATGCTTCAGAGCTATGTTGGTGCTTGTACATAAAATGTCTTTCACTATCACTGATGGATACTGTATTCACTTCCTTAAGAACAAAGATGGTTCAAGCAACACTGTATCTTCTTGCCTGGCAATTAGAGAATCAACTATAACTTCTGAAAAAATAACAACGTAAGGCAGAGTGATTGCTTTTTTGAGCACCAAAGTTAGGATGCAGCAGGCCACTCTAGTTGGACCAGTCTCCTCTCCACGCCACTAAGTTTCATCCCCCAAGGAGAAGGGCCAAGCCCTGAATGTCATCTGAGTCTTGGCTTCAGGTGCCTTGAATGGTAGGGGGAGGAAAGAGGAGACAAGTCTCCTTAAGAGTTCTGGCACCAACCATAGAGCTTCCAATTGCCTCCAACTCAGATTCAGAAAGAATTTGTCATCTCCAGGCACGGAAAACACAACATCCACTCCTAGATCCATAATAGAGGTAGTTTAATGTCCTGTGGCTGAAGCCTCAGCAACACAGGTACACTCCACCATCTGCCATTTCTAGGTCTGCTGTTTTGGAGTTCCTTGCCCCACTGACCATCACCAGTCACAGATGCAGTAGACAAGTTTGAAGAATACTGAAGTAAGTTTTCCTTAAGAATTACTGTAAGAGACAGAAGAGTATGAACACTGAAGATATATACACACAATTTAAACATATATGGCATGAAGAATAGACAAGCATAAACAGGATCATCAGGATCAATGGGAGGACATGCTGCCTTTTCAAAGGCTGGCTTTTTAGCATGGATCATACCTCATACAAAACTGTAGTATTCCCATGAAGGAGAGGTCCATAGCAAATGTAGGAATGACCAACGACCCAGCCTAAATCAGAAGCTGCCCACCAAACCTAAAATGAAATAAAAACATAAATGGGGGGGGTGTGGTGGTGGGGGGGTAAAGGAGTCCAAAAAAATTTACATTACATTTAAATAGAATTACCTCACCAGGTTTGAGTCCATATACAGCTGACATTGTCCAGTTCAGCATAACTGCATAGCCACCTGTTGGTCTTACAACACCCTAAATGAGAAAATTTGAATATTTAAGATCATTTGAGGGATGCAGTGATATTCCTGTCTTCAATGATATTTCTGTGGTTTTAGCAGTATGTCCTGGTTTCAGCCAAGACGGAGTTAATTTTCTTCATAGAAGCTAGTGTGAGGCTGTGTTTTGGATTTGGGATGAGAAAATTATGATAACGTGCTGAAGTTTTGAGCTGTGGCTAAGTAGTCAAGGACAGTCCAGCTTCTCATGATGGCCTGCTAGCAAGAAGGCTGGGGGTGCATGGGAACCTGGGAGGGAACACAGCCAGGACAACTGACCCAGGCTGGCCAAAGGCATATTCCATATCATATGACGTCATACTCAGCATATAAAGCTGGGACGAAGAAGAATGAAGGGGGGATGGAGAGACATTCGGAGTTATGGCGTCTGTCTTCCCAAGAAACCGTCACACATGATGGAGCCCTGCTTCCTTGGAGATGGCTGAACACCTGCCTGCCCATGGGAAACAGTGAATGAATTCCTCGTTTTGCTTTGCTTGCGTGTGCAGCTTTTGCTTTACCTATTAAACGTTTTTTATCTCAAACCATGAATTTCCTCACTTTTACTCTTCTGATTCTCTCCCCCATCCCACTGTGGGGGAGTGAACGAGCAGCTGCGTGGCGCTTAGTTGCTGGCTGGGGCTAAACCACGACACAGTAATAGACTTAGAGTTGTTTAATTCCAATACTCCTCACTTAAGAGAAGGATCCATTCTGACAAATACATGCTTATGCTAGCATTCCCACTGAAGAAGTAATTTTGTAAAACAAACAAACATACAATAAAACAAACAAAAAACCCAAGCCCTAGATGACAATAGTTTTCAGAAGATAACTACCAAAGACTAAGATTCTCTCATTAAAATGAGATATACAAATATGCTGACAAAAAATAACAGATTGAGTATTTGCCTCAATTAAACTGTGGCCACCTAAATGCTAGGCAAGTTTCAAACTCATTGTCTAGCCTATCATCACCAGAAAAGAGGAGCAACTGTGGAGCAGCTGATACCTAAAATAACTGAGGTTAATTACTCCCTGAAATGTACCCCTCTTTCTGCATTGATTATTTTTAAAGATGTCAGAAAATTGGCTTAAACCAGATGTCTATTTTTGAAAGGTTTAATATCTAGCCTGAAGTATACAGACGAATGCAAAAGGAAGAACATCCCAGTCTTACTCTAAAAGAGGGATTCAAAAATTAGAACGAGAGATCATCAATAGCATCATGTACCCTGGTAAAACAGAAACTGGCTCTGGAACACCGTTAATAAGAAAATCTGAAATATTTTGTAATATTTGTATATTTAGTATACATTTCATCATCTTCTAGTACACTGTTTCTAGAAGAAAGAATTAAGTAAACTATGTCCTCATGTCCTGAACTAAAAGTCAGGTGAGATTCATCTGACCAAACAAATGTCTACAGTACACACATTACAGTGCAGCTATCTGTCTGTGCTAGGCACAGTACATTCTCTTTATGTAGTTAATAGAATGAAATAGGCACTTTCAGGACTCGTCCAAGAAAGGAGGGACTGTAGAGACATATTATCTCATTAAAATGGAGATTGCCACAGCAGAGGATGGTTAACTAACACTTCACGAATTTCAGAAAGCAGATTGCCTTTGTTAGTCTCAGCTTCTAACTTAGTCCCTGCTCCGAGATTAACAAAACCTTTCTTATAAAGGTCATCACTGAGAAATTTCACTTGCATGACCATTTAAAAGCTAGTTCCTTAAATGAATAAAGAAGTTATTATATTCAATAAGTTACTCATTGTAGCTTAGTGTTAGTTGACACCGTCCCTCTTATAAGGGTGATTCATTATAAATAGCCAAACAGTGAAGTAAACTTCTGAGAACTTTTATCTCTGAGATACTGTATTTTGAAACTAACAGTCAAGGAAAATGCCTGTTGTAACAAAGGATCTTATCTTGGACCTTTTAACAATGTAATTAAATGATTCGAGATACATATGTTGCTTTAAAGTGCCCACGTTCAAGGCAAAAGCAGAAGACATATTTCTCGGCAAACTGATGGGTTTTTTCCCCTTACCTCTCCATAGATTCTGAACTGTGTAGGCCACATCATTAAATAATTTTCTAGTAGTAGTCTAAGCACTGCCACATTCAGGGATGTGTGATGCTGTCTCTGAATTTGTGGTGGTGAAGCCCATCACCAGAAAATTATACTCAGCTTGTCTTTTACATTTTAAAAGAGAATTGTAAATACCAAGCAAACACTCAAGAGTTTGCTTTTACAATAAGATGTTTTAAAAATAGACCATTAAAACTAATTGACATTTGAAAGCAAACATTTTCAAAGAATGTCCTTTGTCAGTTTTCACTTAATCAATCTAAACTTTCATTTTCATAGAAATTATATTCTTAGAACTGTTCAGTAACACAAGCCTTCAGAACATGCTTAATTCCATTTAATCTGTAATGTCATTCATTACATCTTATCTATGGGAAGATTACCTAATATGTAAATAATGAATAAGGAGACTATTCAGCAATAAATGCTATCACACAAATGACACATTAACTAATCTTGCCATTAAGTGACTATACTACGATATCTCAAACAGTTAAAATACAGAAGATATTAATGGATAAAAGACATTCTGCGTTCTCCAAAGTTTATATTGCACAAACATTTTGAAGCAAATGCAGTTTATCTTTATAGTACTACTATTTAAATAAAGAATGATGATTTATTCCTGGAAACTGACTTTAAAGTAGTCAAAGATGAATAAATTAGATTAAACCATATCTGGCAATGTTTATCATTTATAGCACTGAGCACTGGCAAACATTTTCAACATTTTTAATTAAGTATTTTCGCAAGTGGAACTGCAAATAGGTTGGTCACAAACACTTAAGACTACAGATAGCCCTTTACCTTGGGTAAGCCTGTTGTTCCAGATGTATAGAGAATATAAAGTGGATGATCTGAGGGAACAGAGACACATTTATAACACTGTGCTTTTGCAAGCTCTTCTTCCCAGTCAAGATCACGACCTGGGGCAAGAGGAACATGGCCCTGCACATTGTAAAATAGAGAAGTGTCAAAAGAAAAACAGATGGAATAAATGGAAGTGGGTTAAAAAACATGTACTATTCAATTTTCTGTACAGTACTATTCAATTTTCTGCACAGTAATCTCTGCTGCATTAGTTCTATTAACTATTTAAATCTTGCAAATATAAAGTTCCCCCATAAAATTCAAAACCAAACTACAAACAGATACACCAAAATTTTTACTTGTAAAGAGAAAAGGCACATGCATTACATACACATCTGAAAGTTAACATATAAGCACAACAACTGTACACCCACCAAATTAGGTCGCATGTAAATGAGAACTTTCTCAGGTTTGCTCTGTACCCTTTCCAGTGCTCCTTCTAGGAGGGTTATGTATTCCACTTTCCTTTTTGGTTCTACTCCAAAACTTGCTGTTACAATAAGTTTGGGCTAAAATAAAGAAGTCAGATTGTTAATACATACATTTGCGATATATTTTATGTATGTAACCTAATAACATGTTTTCCATTAAATTACTTGATTAATGACACTCAATGTGTAAAATCTATCTTCACATAATTAGAAACAGAGTTTTAGACCAGTTTTCTAAGGAAATCAAGCTTGTGTGATCTTGCTGTCCACGCACCTGTTTTTTGTTCAGGAGCACACTAACAACTTCTGACGCTCCTCGTTACCATTTTCAACAAAATTTGAGTAAGAAATCACAGTATTAAGTTCTTTTAAGTTGCACAAAAATTAATGAACAGAGAGAAAAACCTATCTTCACCTTAGCCTCTCCATTAAGAAATAGTGGTACAGTGATGTCAACAATTATCCGTCCTGTTTAGCCTACTTTCTAATTATCTGCCTGCATGCAATGGCTTATTTCAAAACCAGCTATAGCACTTTGCTGCTCTTCTCCGGCCTGCAATTAAATGACATGGGAGGGAAAATCGAGGAAAGGGGAAAAAGAAGGCAAACAAGAGATGACAAGAAACTAGAAATACAGGAAGATAATAAGCTGAAGTCATAAGGCACATAAGGGAAGTAAAACTAAAGTCTTTCAGGTGATGGTTGCAGGATTCAGGATGCAAAACCACTAAAAAACAGATTTCCATAGTTCTGGGTTTTTTTAGAATAATTTCTATTTCCAAATGTGGATTTAGCATCTTTGTCATTAAATTAACCTCAGGTTTTGTGTAAGATTTCCTAAGTCAAGAAATCTGCATACAAAGTATTTTTACTTAGGTCCCAAAATCACTATTTTTATCTTGAATTTCAGGAAATAAAAGGTAGCACCAAAGAAACTATGTGTTCGAACACATTCTAATTGGAGAAGAATGAGTCTTCAATCTCCTTGCTTTTGGAGTTTTAGAAATATATTTATCTTATGCCACTCAGTTTGATCAAACTAGTTTACTAATTGTATGCATTAGCATAAATCTCATTAAGCAGGAACAAACCACAATGCCACAGTTAAGGCTGCATTAAACTCAGGACAAAAAGCACAGATTAAATTGTTTTCTTGTGCAACAATAAATTGCTTCCTGTCAAAATCTGCCATTCAGGGAAGTTTACTAATTAGTTTGTATTCAAAATAAAGATTTCAGATGAGCTTTAAAATTTCAGGTTTTGTCATCTGTCTCTTTTTGGATGCACTGATTTTAATAAAAGATGACACAATGCAATGCAGTTAAACTGAAAATTCATCTGGAGGCTACCCTGAAATTAGACTGTAATTAATGTAAGATATTAACACAGTTCTATTCAATTGTTAAGATGAAAGACTGTCATCAATGCCAAGTTTACAGTCATTTGTAAATAGTGCCGCCTCTGCTCATCAACTACTTTGTATGCAGCAAGGAAGTCTAAAAATAACCAATACTAAATTGGCTAAGATGATGTATTTCCCAAGTAAGGGTACTACTTGGAAGCATCATGGATCGCTCTGTGCAAATCAAAGCTCCATAACTGCTGTTTTCTGGTGTTTTACCTCTCTGCCTACTGGCATTACTTTCCCTGCATCTCTGCTCCTATATTGCTTTTATACACCCATTTCCCACCTCTTCTGTGGCTCCATGTAGTCTTGCACAATAAGATCAGATAAAAATATAACTAGTTTGAAGGAAAACCAGGAAAGTTCAAAGGTGTGCTGGCAAAGGAATGCCAGCAATAGTAAGCAGTAGAGAGAAAAAAATTAAGTAGAAATTGGATAAAGAAAAGCCTGATAGTACCAGACCAACAATTTAATTCTACTGTAAAGACACCTCCTACAAATTTTTCTATAGGTTGTAACAGCATACACGGCAAAGATTAGAAAAAGCAATAAATACATTTTATTGGGCCAATTAATAAAGCTGCAAAAAGCCAAAACTGAAAACCAACTACCTTTGGGGCACAAAATGTCAGGTTTCATGATGAGGTCATGAGCTGGTGAGGGGTCTGGAGCACAAGTCCTATGGGGAGCAGCTGAAGGAACTGGGCTTGTTCAGTCTGGAGAAGAGGAGGCTGAGGGGAGACCTTATCGCTCTCTACAACTGCCTGAAAGGGAGTTGTGGTGACGAGGGTGTTGGTCTCGTCTCCCAACTAACTAGTGATAGGACGAGAGGAAATGGCCTCAAGTTGCGCCAGGGGAGGTTTAGATTGGATATTAGGAAAAATTTCTTTACCAAGAGGGTGGTCAAGCATTGGAACAGGCTGCTCAAGGAAGGGGGTGGAGTCACCATCTCTGGAAGTGTTCAAAAAACGTGTGGATGTGGCGCTTCAGGACATGGTTTAGGGGACATGGTGGCGCTGGATTAATGGTTGGACTTGATGATCTTGAAGGTCCTTTCCAACCTTAGTGATTCTGTGAGGTTTACAGAGAGATCCAGCACTCGGGCCCTCGCTATTCAACACATAAAGCTCTTTTCTCTTTGAACTTCAGCCACACATCTGATCACCAGCCTATGCTCAAACTTACTGCATTTTTGTTGTACCTCCCTCCTCCTTAAAAATGTTACACACTTTTTAAAGAAATCCAGTGCTTCTGCAGTCATTATATAGTTCTGCTGCACCTGCTGGTACTGCTCTGGCTTTGTAGTTAGATGATCCACATCGGACTGCCATGCACATTTAGTTCTGTCAGATACTATACAGCACTCTAAAGAAAGAGACCTGAATCATACCATACAAGTAGTTAAAAATAAAAATCAAGATACTGCCTTCTAATCTACAATACATATTCCAAAAGCAAAGAGGGCTTTGAAAGAAGACAAGACAGGACTGCAACTATTATAAGGCAATTGTGTATCTTACGTATCAGCAGCTGAGCTTGCTGCCTAATCCCTTGAAAGGTTGGATCATCTTATGATGAGAAGTAGGCGTAACCATACATAACCATACCTGTTATGGTTATACCTGCCTTATTCAGAATAAACTATTAAAAATATTAGCTCATTTTTTCAAGGAAATCTTATTACAATCCCCAAATGTGTCCACTGTAAATAAGTGAGGAATACGGTATTTCTGACCTCAATGGAAGATAGTAACAGAGAGTTGTGAATAACTTTGATGTCTTGTACTACTTCAAAGAGTTGCTGTTCACTTGCAAATCTTAATACTGTTTTAGTGAAGCATTTTCAAAAATCACGTGTAAAAAACTCCATTACTTGCCTTTTATTTTGCAGGGTTTTGACTTAAAATCTAAAAAGCCCTCTGGAATTGCTATATAATTATTATGATTAAAAAAAACATGAGAAAATTTGATCGTTGAAAGTGCAGCAACTACCCTATCAAATAGGCATATAAGCATGTTGTTCTTAAGTACCCTTCTCAGTTTTCCTAGTTTACCAAGATAAAATGCTTAAACAGACGTCATGTTAATTTCTCAAACTGTAGTTTGAGTAGTAGATACTTCCTTCAAAAGTATCTACTGTTTCAATATTGCAAACTATATATTCCCAGATTCAGGTGAAAAGAAACATGACAAGAAATGCCTGTTCTCACACTCTGTATCACTTCATCACAATTCACCACAAAAGTCTGTAACTGCCAACACCTGACAAGAGTAAAAATTATCAGCTGCAGTACGTTGCAGCGTTCCCAGGCCTATTTAAAATTAAAGAAAAATTAAGGCAAGCTGGTAAATTATATGTACCTTTTCATAGTCACCTGAAAGTGCTTGTTATTTCTTTCACTTAGATCTTCCAAGAAAATGTGAAGTTTGACCTTTCTTCCACAAGAGCAGCCAGCTTTCCATTCCACATCTTTAACTTTTTCCAATTAATCTTACCAACATTAGGTCCTATATTGCAACGTCTAAACCAATTCACATAAAAGCCTAATAGAAAGGTTAGAGGTTTTTGAGACTGCTTCAATTAACTTCTGAGTTTAGCAGAATACCATCTATCACAGCTACTTATATACATATCTTAAAGAGAATCTCGATGCTGTGTAATTCACTTATCAAGAATACTTTACAGTATTGCAAAATTGGGGCATGTTTTGAAATTTAGATTGAGGATGTGCCTCTCCTCTTTACTTATACTTTCATTATATATCACATGGACCAAAAATCATCCAAAATACTTAGATGTGCCTTTTAAAGAGAAAAGAAAAAGGCAATGTAAATTAGGAATTAATCCATAGCCTGCACCTAGTAATCCTATAGCTAACCCTCCAAAAGATTTGCTGTGTGACCTTGGGTAAATCACTTAAACTTTCTCTGTTTTCTTTTTAACATGTAAAGCAAGGATTATGGTTACAGTGCTGTCTCCCTTTGCTCCTCAGAGGAAGTCCATTGGTTAATATTTGCAAAATAGTCTAAAAGTAACATGCTAGATGATTCATATTGTATCAACTTCCATTTTTAAAGTCTATAATTTTTCTTCTACGTTATTTTTCCCTAATCAAAAGCTTCTATGAGTTAAAATTAATTTTTATAGCTCATTGAAAAAGTGATGGAGTGGGAAGAAAGACACAGAAAACTATGGAGATGTCATTAAGTCCTCCCTCAGCTCTTTTTCACAATTCCAACAAACCATTTCAGCTGTTTTATTAACTTCCGCTTTGTTAAAACATCAAGAGAGAGGAGGGGGAATGCATTCAACTTTCTATTTACAAATATTCATAAAATTCAAGCCTTGGGGATCTGAAAAGCACTTCTGTACACAAAAATCTAAGTAAAAGTTCCAGAAATCCTGTGGAGTTTACCCTGCATAATGTTTTGGCTTATACACCTAATCAACACAATTCAGTGATAGATGGCTACCACTGATGGTCTGAATGATCCAGGTGACTGATCAAAATGACAGAGATTTCTGTCTTGTCACTGGTAGAAAACAAGAATGGCAACTTCCAGTACAAACATTGTTAGCTGATTTGAAACTAATGCATACACAAGCTACTAATATGCACGTATAAGCTACTAAGTAGGTTATTAAAGTACTATCTGCATTTTCACTTACAAAGACTTACATAATGCTTCATAAACAAGTTCAATGTGTGCCAAATGTGGAAGCCTTTAAAGCATTCCCCTCTATTAATTATGTTCTCTGCATAGTCACTTAAGACAACTGGTTCCCTAGCTGCCTTGATTCGAATACAAATTAGACGAAGTAGCTATGTAGCTGAAAAACGTACTACCTAATATGTATAAAGATAAAGTAAACCAATGAAGTCATTTAGGGTTGGCAGCATTTTCCTCATACGCTTCAGGAAAATGCTGGGTGAAATGCAAATTTTAAGGTGATGCTTTGTAGACAAAGATTGACAAATGAGAGAAGAAAGTATGCTATAAACAGACAGCAAGCATGTTAAATTCATGTTTTTTAAGAGGTCAACATTTGTATCTCAATGTCTGCCATAAAAGTATCACCCACAGCACAGATGTAGTACTTTTTTCCACATTTCAATGTTAGGTATTATAAACAAATTGAAACTGCATGCCACACAAAGAGAAATGTTATCCTCTCTAGAAAAAAAGGGGTTTTGACATTGATTTATATGAATAACTAATGCCGTGATGTTTGTTGTTGCAAATATGTATTACCTTTGCATGATCAATGCGAACAGAAAGCTCTTTAGATGCAAATCCGCCAAAAATCAGGCTATGGATGGCTCCTATTCTTGCACACGCCAGCATACAGTACACTGTTTGTGGAATCATGGGCATGTAGATGACCACACGATCTCCTTTCTTCACACCATGTCTGACCATGACATCAGCTAACTTGGAGACCTGACAAAATATCCACAACATAGTAAAAGTTAAGTTTTTCCAGAGCTGCTCTTAACCCATAAAAAAACCCCAACTTTCACACAATCAACAGATGCAGGACATTAAGGAGACAAGCAAGTATGATAACAGAAAGTAGATGAATGATGCAATCCAGGTTCAATAAATTTAGGACAATTTCCTTTTTGCAAAAAACATAGGCTAATAGGTTAACATGAAAAACTGTAGACTGAGAGAAACAAAGTAGACTAATAATCTAATAGGAAACAGGATGGAAGGAGAACCATCCCAGGAAGTCATAAACGAGAATACTCCATAAGCATGGTTACATGCCAGTTAGATGTAACAATAACACTTCTGCTTGCAACAGATTTACATTAGTAATAGGACTAAAAAGTTAAATTCCGTAGGAAGTTCTTGGGATATCTGAAGACATCAAAGTTCAGAACAAAGAAGTTGCTGTGTCTTACAGGGGAACTCTTCTTCCCTACAGTAGTAAAACTCTCCTTTAAGAGGTTGACATTCACTAGAAAATATTACAATAAATGTAAGAAGTTTAAACATTCTAATTTCTTTCACTACCCATGTAATGTGAATCTACTCATATATGAATTTCTCTCATCTTACCTTATGCATTATTCCTTATTTATTCATTATATCACATAGGTAAGGTTTCAAGTAAAATTTAGTCTCCTGAAAGACTCTTTTCTTCAGGCACTATCAGACTGGAGAGATAGGAAAGGGAGGACAAATTCTTGAGAGCAGCAGGGGGATGTTGCCTGCAGAATAGAAAATACCCAAGCTTCTGAAGCAGTTGATGTTTTCAGTGATCCAGCAAATAATGCAAGCAATGGGAGCAGCCTAGGTCAATAACACACATTGTGCAAGCAGGACAGAAGGGAAGGACCCTCTTCTTCAAGAATGAGCTACTCAGGAGGATAGATTTTCTTTGAAATGTTTTACCTTCATTTATATTCTTCTTCATAAAGTTTGAGTTTTCTCTATTTAAAAGAGTTACCTTATTCCAGTTGAGTATTTAACATTCTAGTACCTGTTACTTTCAGAGATTTGTAGGCATTAGGCTCGTTCTTTTAGGGTCATATTCAAGAAAACTTGGGGCAATTACATCCAATCCTAGAAGCCCATCTGATACATGTACTGAAGAGGACAATACAGATTATTCATTGCTTCTCTCTTCAGTGGGAACACATGTTCAGGCTTTCAGCAACCTGAGACAGTAAAATCCAGAAGCTCCAGATGCACCTGACCTGTGTTTGCATTAAATACACAGCTCATCCACAATCAAACTACGCATATTTCCACACTTCTTTCTGAGGATTTAAGAAAATGGAAACATAGAAGCCCCAAGCATGCATGCTTGCATCAGAAGATAACAGCAAAGCTTCCATTTTGTATAAACATTGCATAAATGCCTTGTTATTTCCAGCCACAAGAGAGAATATGTTTATAAGGCAAAGTCATCACCACACCAAGCTGAAAACTCACACAAACTAAGGTGTGTATATGATTTATTTGTAATAGACCTTTTATACTAAATGTTACTGATTATCAAAAGAAAATATCTTTAATTCTAGACCTATTAATACCTATCAATACTCTCTGAAACTGACATACACTATCAAAACCCAACAAAAATCAACAAGACCTGGACATGTACACAACTAGAATTTATTGCCATACCACCAGAAATTTAGTCATTTCTAGGCAGGACTGGTGAAAGTAATTATAAGTAAGATTAACAACTCTACTTCCAAAGGTAAATTCCTTTTCTATACTTCCTACTGTGAAAACATTAAAATCTGCAAACTCATTGTAACACAGAGCTAATATCACCTTATCTCAAACAATTGAGAACACTAATCTTATCTTTATTGTTTCTGAAACTCCTAAGCACAGTGTTGACAAAAAGGCCAGAGGCAATGAAAACAATATTTAATGCATAATTTTATATTCAGTGTTGAGTGTGGATAGCAGGCAATAAGTAGTTAAACACAATGGACAAGTATTATTATTCACTATTATTATTTTATAATTATTAATGATTATGAAAAAAGCAATGTTTGCCTGCTAAAGGAAAAGGGCATCATTTAAAGATCATAATTAGTAATTTTGTAATAGAAGACTCACAGTGCCTGTATACAGGTTATGTAACTTTCATACCTGGCTGTAGGAGGGAGACAGTGAAGAGATCTGCATATACTTAAGTAATTTTTATTGAAACCTATCATGGGTAAATTGTACTTAAAGCAGAATATATGTAGCAAGCTGCAGACAGGAACTGCATGTCTTCCACAAAAACCCAGTAATCACTTGCCTGCACTTAACCTCTCCACCTTAGAAAGTTTAATCTCACCGAAGACAAGAACCCAATACAATACATGGGTATCTATGATTTTTCTTGTGCCCTTTCCATCATTCTTCTGACAGCCAGGGAGCATTTCGACTACATAATATATAATGAAATACTGTCTCTGCACCTGTTTTGAAGACTAGAGAACATCATAAAGCAGGTTTACATTGCCCTTAAGATTGATGTGGAAACCCTGAAACATCCAAGCAATCACTCTTTCTGAAAAGGCGGAGGAAAGTGCAAGTAGTGGCATTTCATTAACTGTTAAAAGCCATGAAACCTTCCACTTTGTTACAGTGTGTTGTCATTTATGGTTTACATTTAGACAGCATACTTTATCACTCAAGATTTTACAAGTTGCTATTTTCCTACCAGCATGTTATTTCTCCGCTTTTCTTCAAGTTTAAGATTGCTCTATCACTTCAATATATTTGACTCTTCAGTAATAAAATCACTTGAGACCAAGTGATATAATAAGAAATTCAAGTAGGCTTTCAGCTTTGAAGATCTGGGCTTAAATTACACTTCTATCAAATGCAAGCCCACAGTGAGCACAGCTTTATTCTTATCCAGCCACCAAACAAATACTATATCTGTATTAGTAGTTCAGGTGTACAGTACTGCAGTTCTGAAGTAAATCACCTGGCTGTCCCCAGTAGTTACAAAAAGCAGTTTTGGTCCATATCAAATAATTCTTAGAAGAGACCAAAACAGAAATTCTGCTCCAAATGCTCAAAAGATGAATTTCAAGCCTTCCTAGGCTGAACAATGACTGGGTCTCACCAATGTCAAGTCCTTCAACGCAAGCTAAACACAAAAGGATTCTTCAAATATTGAGAGCTCCTGAAACATCTTGAAGTGCATCTCATGGTGTAAAAAGAGCCACGTCACATATGCATTCCTCTAAACCAAAGGCAACAAGACACCTTAAGCTCTTCAGCTTCTCCACTGCATCGTTTTTCCAATACTACTAAAGAAAGTACTCCTTGCTGTTTTCCCCTGCCCCTTGCTCAGCCTCTTCACACTCTCTCTCTTCACTCTATTCTATCACTCTTCTTAATTATTGTTTCCTGTTTTTCCTACTGCTGCAAAAGTTTCTCCAGCAGATGCACCATGCTGTTGCTAATTTCAAGCCTGCTGCCAAGTGGGAGAGGAATGACAAGGGG